CCCCAAGGCCACCCACTCCTCCAGGTCCCCAGCCAACACTGACAGGCAGTCCAGCGCCCCTGAACCCCACATCCCCCAGTGCAGGAGAAGAGCGGGGCGGAGAGTGACAAATGCCCCACACAAGGCCAGGCTGCAAAGGGCAGGTCGGGGCCGGGCGGGGAGGCGGGGCGCAGAGGAAAGAGCCAGAGTCGTGTGTGTGGGGGGGGAGCCGTCCGGCCCTGTCCCCAGTCCTGCCCCTGACCTGCCCCCATCCTGCCCCCATCCTGCCCCCGTCCTGCTCCCGTCCTGCCCCAGTGCCTCGTGTGGCCTGCAGAGAGCTGGGCAAGCGGGCAGGAAGGCAGGAGGGCTGGGACACTGCTCAGGGCCCTGACTGGCCCCATGTTGGAGCCCTTCCCAGCTCACCCACCAGCACCCTGACCCTGACCCTCTGCCTCCCATCAGCAGGCCTGGCGGGAGGAGGGCACCAGAGAGCAGGGCGGGCCTCTCCTAGGGCATTCCCTGTGGCCTCTGAGGGGACACCTGAGCCAGACCTGGCTTTCCTCCCAGCTGAAGGGCTCCTTCCTCCCAGGCTCCCACTCAGCACCTCCATGTCCCCAGCTCCGGCCCCAGATCTGCCCTGCCCCAGCCCAGAGCACCACCCCCTCCTCAGGTCAGGCCTGGGTCCTCAGGACCCCTCCCCATCCACGCCTGCCTCACCAAGGCTCCCCGCCCCTCCAGTGGGTTCCCACCTAGCTTTCCACACCCCCGGGCCCACCCTCTGGCTTTCTGCCCCCTCACCCCACTCGCTTCTGCTCTGCACACTCACACCTCAGGGCCTTTGCACACGCCCTTCCTGGTTCCCCAAGGGCTCTCAGCATACATGGAACTTCTCATCTAGAAACCCTCTCCCTCCGCGACCTCTCCCTCCCCCAGAGACTCGTTCCTCCCTTTCCGGCACCAACCACTCTTTGGGAGCTGTCTGCTTAGGCACAGGGCTGTCCACCTGTGAGAGCTTCCTGGTCTTGCCATCCATGTCTCCAAGGCGGATGGTGTGGGTGCCTGGCCAGGTCCCCACAGGTCCCTGTTGACCATCTCTAAGTGCAATCTGTCCACAGCCCAGCAACTGCTGGCCCTCCTTGGAGAACTGGGCTGCTGGAGCCCGACTTGTCCTCCCTGGTCACGTCTTGGCCTCCCCTTGGCCAGGGGTGTCCCCTTCCTGGGAACCAGCCCAAGGTGACTTGGGGACGCTGCTGCAAAGTGCACACCAAACCCGAGCTGAAATGCAGGTCGGGGGCATCCGCTCACCCCTCAGGTCACAAGTGCTCTGCACACAGTAGGTGTCCAGTAAGTGCTGCTGGAGGCTCAGCATCCGAGGTCTATCACTGGAGTCCCGGGCTCTGTAGAGGATGCGCCCACCCCCCATGCTCAGGTTCGCCCCAAACTGACCTTCACTCCACCTCGTGGGCGGGCAGCAATCGGCTCAGAGAGGTTATGAATGGCTCCAAAGCCGTCCAGCAGCTTGAGCGGAGCAGAGGCTGCAGGCGCCCGTTGCCAGGCCAGAGCCCTTCCGTGGCCAGCAGAGGAGCAAAGGTGCAGGGTGGACTCCGACTCTTGCTTCCAAGACCCCTTTGAAAACCTAGGACTACTCAGGACATGCTTTGGCAGGGAGACCAAGACACCCAAGTGATCACACTATCCAAAGCCAGGCTGTTGACCGTGGGGACACAAACCTAAGTTGACCTCTGTCACTCCACCAGGCGTGTGGCCCACAGCACGCATGGAGGCACCTGCAGACCAACCGTGTGCACAGCTCGCCCCCTAGTGGCCGGCCCCAGAACTGCCCGGCAGCCAGCCCTGCAGGAACAGGGCACAGACTCAGGCTGCTACGCGGACAGTGGGTGGCGCAGGGCAGGTGGCGTCTGGGAGACTGTGGAGCAGCCTGGTGAGGGACCACAGAGGAGGGAACAGGGAGAGCTCCTCTGCGATGGCCAACACAGAGTCCCCAGCCCGGGCCTACCACGTAGGGCCACCTCTCAGCGGCATGCAGGGACCCACCGTTCCCATTGCCCAGAGGACCAAAACCACCTGGCCCCTCCCTGCCCCTGGGCTGGTCCTCCTACCGCCCTGCAGGTGGTCTGACTCACATTTTTTGGCAGGGGCTGCTGGGGACTGAACCCAGGGCAATTTACTGAGCCACATCCCCAGCCCTTTAAAAATGTTTTTTTTTTTTTAGAGAGAGAGAGAGAGAGAGACATTTTTTCAAATATTTATTTTTTAGTTCTCGGCGGACACAACATCTTTGTTTGTATGTGGTGTTGAGGATCGAACCCGGGCAGCACGCATGCCAGGCGAGCGCACTACCGCTTGAGCCACATCCCCAGCCCAAAAAATGTTTTTTGAATATATATATATTTTTTTTAGCTGTAGATGGACACAATATCTGTCTTTATTTTTATGTGGTGCTGAGGATCCAACCCAGTGCCTCACACGTGCGAGGCAGGTGCTCTACCACTGGGCCCCAGCCCCACTCCTTAAAGTTTGTATTCTGACACAGGGCCCCACTAAGTTGCTGAGGCTGGCCTCAAACCTGCAATCCTCCTGTCTTGGCCTCCCAAATCGCTGGGATTACAGGCATATGCCACCACGCTGGCACTCTGTTTTAAAAGGAGAAAACGGGGGCTCCAGAGAGGTCGTGTGACTTGTCCGGGGTCCCACAGAGGCGAGGGAGTGGAGGGATACAGAAGAGAACCAGTAACACCCGGAGAGGCACGTTCCAGGGTCCCACACAGTGGCAGGGACCCGGCGTTCTGTCACAGGGCCTGGTGGTTTGGGCTACGGGAACCAGGGTCAAGCCATCTGATGCTCTAGACATTCTAGTGTCAACTGGGGTACAGAGTGCCCTGGACTTCCAATTCGGGGGGAATCCACGTGATCAGTAGAGGTCGTGGCCTCCGGGGGAGGCCGTTGGCCGGTGCCCTTGATGAGGGCAGGGCCGGAGTAAGACAGAGGAGGGCAAGTCCCTGAGGCCCAATGCTGGGGGACATCATGGGGCGTGCAGAGGGCTCTGGGACAGGCAGCCCCATGGTGCCTGGAGGGACAGCCCAACCAACAACAGTGCGTTTGCGGTGACAGATCGCAGTGACGGATCGCGGTGATGGCCTGGCCCCGGGGACCCCAGGTCACAGAGGCACAGCGCCTCCCTTCCACATAAAACTCCAAGTAGAAGAGGGAGTCCGGGGAGGGAGACCAGGGTCACATCACAGGGCTCTGTGGCAGGAAGGAGGTCCTTAGACAGCCTGGGTCCCAGGGGACCGCCAAGGGGCCTGCAGGTGACCCAGAGCCCATCCTCACTGAGGCCAGGGTGAAGTCATTGGCTGGGTTAGGGACCAAGGTGGTGGCAAAGATTTCAACCCCAGAAGGACATTCAGAAGCATGATGGTCACACAGGGAACGCGGGGCAGGGTCCCCGGGACATGGGCTGCTCCCAGGGTCCTGTCCCCTTCTGTCCTAGCAGAGGTGAGGGCAAGTCAGACGTGCCAGTGACGAGGCCTCTACCCAGGAAAGTGGAGAGTCCTCCTGGTGGTGCTCAAATGACCAGGATGGGGGGACAGGGGGACAGTGGACTCAGCCTTCCAGGGCAGCCAACGGGGCTGCAAGGGGGCCCCTTACAGGCCTGGACCCTCGCATGGCCCTGTGGGCCCGCCCCGCAGCAGCCAGGCAGGGCCCTCCCGACCTCAGCCCCCACCCGAGGGGACCCCAAACACGGGTTCTGAGAACAAATCTAGAGACTGGGTGACAGCCGGGCACGGTGGCCACGCCTGTAATCCCAGCGGCTCGGAGCAAGAGGATCGTGAGTTCAAAGTCAGCCTCTGCAACTGAATGAGGCCCCGTCTCTAAGATACACTAGGGCTGGGATGCGGCTCAGGGGTGGAGTTCAGTCCCCCACTGAAGGACACACAGGGCCAGGCCTGCCACAGACGCTTCTCGGATAAGTGACAATGTGACAAGATGGCCCGTAGGCCCCACCTGCATGCTGGAGCCCGAGCCCAAGGAGGCTGGGTGGGGCTGCTCCGTCTCCCCACAGACCAGGGACCGGCCAGGTGAGGCCACAGAGGGTGGTGGCCCCGGACCAGGGAGACACTAGACCAAAACATAAGACAGAATAGCCCCGCGGGCGTGGGGGCAGCGTCTGCAGCCCCAAGGTGGGGGGACCACTGAGTCCAGGAGTTGGGACCAGCCTGGGCAGCCAGCCCCGACTCAAAATTCACAGTGACACTTCGATGGTCCCAAGAAACCCAACACATGTCGTCACCACACCTCAGAGTCATCTTTGTGCAGAAGGCGGACGTCACCAACTACAGAACCCTGAAATCCTAGGGACAAGAGAACAGGAAGTCCTGGGGACAGACAGGACGCCATGGCCGTCAGAGGCCAGTCCAGTGGCTTTTTTCAACATTTGGTGCTAAAAGTCATCTCCCCTTGGGGCTGGGGATGTGGCTCAAGCGGTAGCGCGCTCGCCTGGCATACGTGCGGTCCGGGTTCGATCCTCAGCACCACATACAAAGATGTTGTGTCCGCCGAAAAAATAAATAAATAAATTCTCTCCCCCCCCCCCCCGCTCCTCTCTCTTAAAAAAAAAAAAAAAAGTCATCTCCCCACTGCAACCAGATCCACGGCCCATGGACAGTCACTGGAAGGTCTTCCTCGACGGGGGCAGCACCAGCCTTCGCAGCCATCTGACCCTGGGACGGAGACCTCTGTGGGTCCCCTCCTCCCGCCTGCCCCTCCTACCCAACCTGGGCCAGCCAAGAGCCAGGACCGTGTGACTGCTGTGCTCTGGGCACTGGCCCTGAGCACAGACCAATGGGTGAAGGCGCTGGCCACGGGGACCCTGAGGGGACGGCAGGCCACAGGGCAACAGCAGCAGAGGCGGGCAGCGCCTGGCCCCCCCAGAGAGCAGTTCTGGGCAGGACCAGCCCCCAGCACTGGCCCCGGCCCCAGCCACGCACCCAGACACAGGCTTAGTTCTTACAAAGTTTATTGCTTCCACAGTGAGTCAGCTTTAAAACACCACAAACCCATTTCTCTTCCAGTAGAAAAAGGGCCTGGGCTGTCCCTGGGACCAGGGGCACTATGGGTCCCGGGGCCTTCCCACCTCCCCCGGGCACCTGGAGCTGGGGACCCGGGTGGCTGGGGTAGGCTGCAGCCACCCAGCCAGGGAGTGGCTGGCTCAGCGTACAGGACAATGGGGGTCAGGGAGGAGGGCCGGACCCTCGCCTGGGGCCGCTGTGACGGGGCAGGGCGCTGGGAGCCTGGCAGGGTGCCCTCTGCCCTTTGTTCCTGAGGCCCACTCAAAGCCGCTCCAGCCCGGGCCAGGCCCAGGGGCTGCGGCGAGGGGCAGGACCAGGCCCTGCTGGCCTGGCTTTGGCACTGGAGGCCTGCAGGGGACAGGCCCGTCCTCTGTGGCTGGGGCCACGCTGGCTACAGGGAGCCGGGAGCAGAAGGTGGTGGCCATCCTCTCCCAGGAGAGGGCTAATGTCCACGGCGCCTGTGGCCAGGCCACAGGTCACCTGGAGAGAAGGTTCCTGATGGCTTCCTGGCGGCCTCTCCCGTCCCTGGCGCAGCTCCGTCCCTGAGTGTCTGCGCGCCTGGGCACGCGGGGTGCAGGGTGTGGCTGGCGGGGCTCAGGCCGTGGGGCTGGGGGGCCGTCCGCTGGGGGAGTCCTGGAGGAGCGGGGCGCAGGGGCTGGGGGGCCGGGCGGGCTGAGCCACCGGGTGGGGCTGGCCCCCGTCACCTTTGCTGCCCTGTGGAGAGAGGGGGAGCTGGGTCACCGTCCCCGCCACCAGCCCGGCCGGCCCAGCCCGCCCGCAGCCCACACAGAGCCCCTTCCCACTGCCCAAGGTGACACCGACGCTCAGAGGCTGGACACGTCACCAAGGCCCTCCCTGGCTCAGTGCCCCACCTGCCCCACCCCCACCCCTCTCAGAGACAGGGAAACTGAGCCCCTGAGAGACCTGACCACTGCAGGGAGAGGGCTGTCCACTGGCAGCCTGGACGTGGCCTCCGCCCCACAGACACGCACAGCCTCAGGGCAGTACTGCACCAGACAGCTGTCCCCAACAGACAGGAAGGGACCCTGCAGACCGTGCTCACAGCCCCCAGCCTCAGATAAGCTGGCAAAGCCACACACATCCAGTGTTGGGGGGAAAGTCCTGGCGAGGGCGGGGGCAGCGGGACTTGAATGGAGGGACAGAGGACACAGAAAAGCACAAGATAGAACAGAGGTCGAGAGACTTGGGATGAGAGTTTATCTAGGCTCACACTCAAAAGTTGGAGTTAGCCAGGCACAATGGTGGCCCTCGCCTGTGGTCCCAGCGGCTCGGGAGGCTGAGGCAGGAGGATCGCGAGTTAAAAACCAGCCTCAGCAAAAGCGAGGCCCTAAGCAACTCAGTGAGACCCTGTCTCTAAATAAATAAAAAATAGGGCTGGGGACGTGGCTCAGTGGCCGAGTGCCCCCTGAGTTCAATCCCTGAACCAAAAAAAAAAAAGTTTGAGTTAAGAAGTTAAGAAGAAGAGGACAGTGATGATAGAACAGGCCCCGTCCTAGCCTCCCTACCCTGAGGACAGCGGGAACCACCCCCCCCCCACCAGAGCCCCGGCTCACCACCCCTAGGGGCCTGCCCTGTTCCTCCCCGTGGGCAGACCTAGGGCTTCCTGCAGGAGCCGGTCCTCCCCATGACGGAAAGTCTCCCTTAGGAGGAAAGGGGACCCCCTCTTGGGGACCTCACAGCCCTGGAGCCAGCATGTGAAGCAGGTTCCTCCAACTTCCCCCTCCCCTCCCCCGCCTGGGGGGGCAATGAGAAGGTGGGGAGGGGCCCAGGGGTTCCCAGAAGGGCCCCCTCCCCGTCAGTGGCCCAGGCTGTCGACTGCACAGGGCTCCGGCCCCCCCTTAGAAGCTCTGCAGGGCCTTCCAGTTCTTATTCATTTAAAAATCCCCTCTGGGCTGGTGGAGGCCATTTCCCCTTCTCTCAAGCAAGGCAGCCTCCTGGGGCCACCCCATCCCCAGGTGCAGGGCAAAGCGGGGAGTCCCCTGCCAGGTCTGTTAGGGTGGAGGCCCCCCAGGACCGGCTCCCAGCTGCCAGCCCAGGCTGAGGCCTAGACACCCAGGAGGGGCTGGGTGTCCTGGGGACAGGCTGCCCTTGGAAGGCAGGGGGTGGGTGGAGGGCTGGGTTCTGTGGGCAAGTGGAGGGCAGACCCCAGGTGTGTCTTGCCCCACTGGGGGGGTGCCTAGGTTCTGTCCAGGGGTGCAGACACGGGGACCTCCCTACCCCCTCCCCCTGCTAAGACTGACTAACTGCCACCTCGGCCTGTCCCCGGGGACACCAGACATCCTTCTGCTGGGGACTGGGGGGCAGGGATACCACCCAAGTGTGCCCAGCTCACAGGTCTCCCAGTGGGGTCCTCGGCAGGATCCTCGGGAGGCAGGCAGGAGAGGGGCCTGGCCAGGATGCTCATCCCCCACAGCAGGGAGCCCTCCTCAGGACACCCGCTGGACAAGAGCAGGCCCCGCCCACTGTCTACCCGCTGTTCCCAGGTGGGCAGAGGGGCCGCAGGCCTGCCTGGGACACAGCGTCCTCCCTCCTGCCAACCTAAGGCCCTGCCGCCACTGCCCACTCCCCTTGACTTCCTCCTCTGGCCCAATTCCTGGCCTTGGCAACTGAAGCCCGCTGGCGATGACCACTGGCCGAGGCGAGAGCACCCCGCACACCCAGGTGGGCAGCGACGGAAACCCAGAGACCCGGCCAAGGCTGGAGCGAGGGCGGCACATTTCCCAGAAACTAAAATAGCAGCTGTCCCCGGGCAGATGCATGACTCACCCTGGCCCAGCCCAAGGCAAGCCCAGGGCCTTCGGCTCTTCCCCTCAAGACCTGGCCCCGGGAGCCCCGGGCACCGCCTGCTCCTCACAGGCAGAGCTTCTGGATGAAAACCAGGGAGCCCTGAACACCGAATTCCCAGTGCACCTCCTGCAGGTGTTGATCTGAGCATGTCCCCAACTGCAAGGTCCCTCACTGGCTGCTGGGCTGGAACCCAACCTGTACTGGGCTTCCTGTTTCTTATTTGTGCTCAATCTGGTGACCTGTCGGGCAGAAGCAGTCCTGGATATACTGCCGGGGCTCAGTGGATGCCTTCTTTGTTCTTGATTAGTCTTACCAGGCTTAGGCCAATGTGTCTCAAACAGGGGTCCCTGAACCTTCAAGATGCCCCCAGGGTCCATTAAAATGCAGACCTCCAGCCCAGGAGGCCGTCCCAGGAGGCTCTGGCCCTCCAGGCACCCCTGGGAAGAGGTTCAGGAGCAGCCGGCCTCGCCTGGACCTTGCCTTCCTACTGTGACCTCGAAACTGACACAGAGCAGCCCACAGCCACCGGGGATCAAAGAAACCGCACTGCAGAGAGCCTCCCTGGGCTGGCCCCTGGGAGGGGCTTTACCTGGTACCCACCTAGAGTCTTGCTTCTTGCAGCACAACGCTGGGAGGAGGCGTCATCAGGGATTCAGAGTAGGCCTGAATGGCCTCCTTATCCTTTGAGCCCTTTTTACTACCACTCCAAAATAAATAGCATTTGTCCTAGAAGACAACCAAGCTAATTTATAGTCCACGTCGGCCCAGCCGCGAGGGCCGCGCTCCGCTCTGTGTTTCCCGAAGCAAACAGGGGACGGGAGGGGTGTAGGGTTTTAGGGTCCAGCAGCTTTTCCCAGCCGGAGAGGCTGAGACCAGAGGAGGCTGAGATGGGAGGAGGCTGAGATCAGAAGAAGCTGAGACGGAGAGCTGTGGCTGCTCCTAGACCAGAAGCCCACTCTGAGGATGGCCAGGCCTGGTCCAAGAGGCCCGGCACATTACTTAATGTGCCACTGGGCGGGGGGTGGAGAGGCCGATGGCTGGTTTGGGGCCATTGTGTCTCCTTTGTGGCTCTGGTGCTGGGGAAGAACCAGGGCCCAGAGATGCTGAGGACAGGCCCCACCTGAGCTCCAGCCCAGCCCCACTGGGACAGGGGCATTTTAAATCGACTGGACATAAGAGATTTTTCTGTTAAAATACTTAGGATTATTTTTTTTGCCCCTCAACAAAGACTTTAGAAAACTCTCTCCACAGAGACACGGGAACAAGGAGCTCGCCAGAGTGCAATTTAGAAACTCAGGACACATAAAGACAAGTAAGGCCTGAGCTGCCGAGGCAAAGCACAGGTGATGGACACGCATCCCTCATCCGGCCTCTGGAGAAGCTGTGGGAAGAGGCCCCACAGAACCCGGCGGGGGAAACCTCTCGTGGATGGGGCGGGGCGCTGATCTGGGGACAGGGAGGACCTTCACGCTCAGTCTCGTCACCCTCCTGCCTGACTGGGACAGAGACAGGGGCCAGCGGACCAGGGCCCCTGCTGTCCCAGCCCCTCAGAGGCTGGGGGTCCTTGAAGGACACTGTGACACCTGTCTGCAGGGAGCTTTTCCCCCAGTCCCCACGGTAATCTGGGACACACTGGGCACTCACTTTGCTAGGCAAGTGACAACCAGCTGGGCCTTGGTTCCCTGCAGCAAGGGAGAGGGAGTGGCCAGGGGGCGCTTGGGAACTGCTCCCCAAGGCCGGAGGTAGAAGGCACATGGGGCCCTGGTTAGAGTGGGAAAGGCCCACAGAGAGCAAGAGTACAGGTAGCAAGCAAGCAGGGGACAGAGCTTCCCAGGAGCAGGAGAGAAACTGGCTGGCACAGGGTCCCCAGGCCCTCAGGAAGCCTTGGTCAACTCAGGTGTGCCCCTGGGGGGCCTTTCCAGACGCCTGCCTGAGAGCAGCAGCCCCCATCCATCTGGGCTGCTCACCCATCTGCCCTGTGCCCCGCAACCTGAGACCGCCCTGCCGACCCAGATCTGTGGGACAGACTGTGTATTCTGGTCTGTTCTGAATCCCCGCCACCTGTGCCCAGCACAGCCCTCAAATAAGTGTCTCAGCAGATGTGTGCGAGCAAATGCCATGAAAAACAAACTGGTCACCTGTGATCCCAGCGGCGGGGGAGGCCGAGGCAGGAGGATTGCAAGTCGAAGGCCAGCCTCAGCAACTTAGCAAGGCCCTAGCAACTTAGCAAGACCCCATATCACAATAAAAATAAAAAGGGCCGGGACATGGCTCAGGGGTAAAGCACCCTGGCTTCAATCCCGAGCACCCGCCACAGATCTTCCCCTCTGTCCTCTCCTGATACAAGCTGCTCCCAAACTCGCTCGCTGGTTCCCTGCTCCTGACCCTCCTGGCCCAGGACCTGTTTGCCACTCAGGTGACAGAGTGACTCCTCTTTAAAAAACCCCAAGTTACCTGCCCGTGTGCTCTCTCAGCACCATCTCCTGTCCCTCCCAGGACTCCCTCCCCCAGCCACCTGGGCCCTGCCCAACCCTCCACTGTGCCTGCCCTGTCGCTGGCCCAGGGTCTTTGAACTGGCCCTCCCTCCATCTGTAGCACTTTCTCGGTGCTGTGTACTTGCATCTAAGCTTGGATTCCAGCACTCCAGAGGCCTTTCCTCTCTGTATTTGTCCTACCTCCTTGGACAGGGGTGTTCAGTCTGGGAGCCACATACAGTGGCCATGGGCCTTTCAAACAGGGTGAGCCGAATGGAGAGCTGCTCTAAGTGTAAAAGACACACCGGATTTCAAAGATTTGGGGAAAAAATTTGCAAAGATTCCTATATCTTTCCTGTTGGTTCTTATTGTGACAATAACATTTCGGACATATTCGAGTTAAATTCAGCTGTGCCTTTGACATTCCGAGGCTGAGAGAAACCTGCACACACTGACGTGGCTCCTGTTGCAGTTCAGCTCCACAGCAGGGGCTCTGGCCGGTCACTTTCTCTATGACCCTCTATCATTGGTAAAATTATCTCTTCTCATATTAACCTGGCTCTCTCCTGTCTCCCGCCTCAGGAGTGCCAGCCTGGTTGCCCCCCGAGCGGGGACCTGGACGCACTGGCCTAGCAGCCTGGCATTCACAGGTGCCCACCTGCTGAATGAGAGCCGGGCCTCACCCCCCAACACCCGCTGCGGGCCCCGGGGAGGTCCCAGGCCACCAGGAGGCAGAGCAGAGGCTGCGCAGGGTGCGAGAGATGCGAGGAGGAGGCAGAGTGAAGGGTGAAGGTGGATCAACCCGACGCCCAGCCCGGCCCGGGTGCAAACCCGGGGCCTGGCGCAGTCACGTACCTGGCTCCGCGCCTGGTAGATGATGGGGACGAGCAGCAGCGCACCGCCCAGGGCCAGCAGCGCATACTGGGCGTAGTGCATCACCTTGGGCATCAGCACCAGCTGTGTGTAGAACGTCTGCAGCGGCTTGCCCTCCATGGCCCCGCTCTGCGGAAGGGCACACAGCTGGGCCCACACGGCTGTCCCGCAGGCCTGCACCCTCGCCCGCCCACCAGGGTCCAGGCGCCCACCTTTCCTCGGTGCGCTCCATGAGACTACATTTCCCAGACGACCTTGCAGGGGCCTGAACCATGTGATCACAGCCTTACCAATGGCAGGCAGACCTGGCCCACTAGCCCCTCCCACATGGCCGCCCTATCTTAACCTGACCAATGAGGGGCCGGAGTCTGAGAGCCTCCGGGGGCGGGGCCACGAGCGGAAAGCACGTGGCGCCCGGGGGCTGAGTGGCTCGGAGCACCGCACCCCGCAGCCTGTCAGTACCGGCTGTGAGCAGCAGTGACCTTGACCTTAAACTTGACCTATCCCTCCAGGCCACTAGCAATCTGGGTGAGGCCAGAAATAACATAAAAAAACAAAATAATGTAACTTAACAAAATTAAATTTAAAAAAACCCATAAGGAAATTAAAAAGCTTGGAGAGAAGAAAAGTTAAAGGAAAAATTTGACTTCCTTGAAAAATCAGCTTCCCTTCTTCTCCCCGTGGAAGTGGGCACAGCAGTCACAAAATCACCTTACACCCCGCCTGGGACTCACTGCTTGGCACCCCCACCTCATGGTCCTTGCAACCCACTGGCATGGACATAAAGTCTGGGGACACTCCTGTCCTCTGGCCCAGCCCTGCCCTCCCCCAGGGTCCCGACCTGTGGCCGCGTAGCCTTACCTCTCCAAACCACATCAGTGGCAGCACCACAGGCTGGATCTTCCCGGTTTGTCTGGAAGTGAGACAGAGCAGGTGAGTTGTGACAGGGTGCGGTACACAGATGTGGGCAGGGACGGTGGCTCCAGGGTCAGGAAGGATGTGGTTCTGGGCTGCTCAGTTGTGCAGGGCTGGGGAACAGGGGACTTCCTGGCAGGGAGCCATTTCACAACTCGAGCATAATCTGTTCAAATTAAGCCCACATCTGAACGGCTAGGCTGACGGCACTTAGCTGATTCCCATACGCCGCTTTTAGAAACAGAATCCCGATTTTATTCAGGTTGGCGATGCTCCCAGGTAAAAGACTGTCTGTCTTGCTGAGAGCAGGGAGGGCCATGTGACCAAATTCTGGTTGTTGGGATGTTCACAGAAGCATTATGTAGAGTAGCTGGGAGGAAAACACTTTCTGTTCTCCCTTTCAGATGTGTGAAATGCAGATGCAATAGCTGGAGCTCTGGCAGCCCTTTAGACCACTTAGACCACCTTGAAGATGGAAACCGCGTGTTAGGAAAATGGATCAAAATGAGGGGATGAACTTGGACCGTGAATGTCTCGGGCTGTCATAGCACCCCAGGACGTCTGCCTCCCAACGTCCTCCAGAAGACTGAACGGAAAACAGTAAAGCTTTGTCCTGTTTGAGTCACAGCTGTTGTGTCTCCTGCTCTCTCAGCCAAACCTAATCCACCAACAACCTGATGACCAGCGAGGACACTCTTCAGTAACTGCCCTGAAGGTGCCCAGTGTTGCTTGGAACAGCAAACCCAGGACGACAGGGACGGCCTGAATGTCCCCGAGGACCCTGGGCCTCCTCCAGGTCGTCTCTGTGCAGGGAAGACTGCAGAATGTCCGACAGGGAGGGACGGGGTCCTCACAGGCCACCAACGAACGTGTCTGAGACGCGTCAGGCATGATAAGCAAGCTGCAGAAATGATCCTAGAGAAACCCCCCGGCAGCGTCTGCATCTCTGGCAACACATAGTGAATGTAAATAAGCAGGGGACACAGGGCAGGGATTCCACAGGTGACAGGGGACAGCACACGGGAAGCTCCACTTAGTTTCCCGTCAGGAAGAGAGTGACCTTAAAACACGTGCCACCGTAACAAGTAACAAAATGCCAAAGGGGCAGTAAAGGGCTGACAAACATGACCTCACCCTGGGGTCAGGGTCAGCAGTGAGGTCTGTGGACAGTCTGCGCCCTGGACCAGCACCTTCGCTCAGCACTCTTCCTCCTGCGCCTACTGCCTGCCGACCATGAGAGGACGTCGGATCCATCCCCACAGAGGCCCCCACAGCATCGGGAACAAGGAGACTGAGCCCAGCGGTCAGGAGGCTGAGGCAGGAGGAGGGCAAGTTCGAGGCCAGCCTCAGCAACTTGGCAAGACCCTTAGCAACTTGGTGAGACCCTGTCTCAAAATAAAAAATAAAAAGGGCTGGGACGTGGCCCCGTGGGTAAGCACCCTGGGTGCAATCCCCATACTAATAATAATAAATAATAATAATAATAATAAAATGGCATCAGAGCAGAACTCAAGGGGAAACTAAGGAAACAAGGAGCAGTGTGGATCCTGGTCCACCCAGGGTACGACAGGACACCAGGGCAGGACACAGATGTTCTGTAGTACGTCTGTAACTTTTCTATAAATCTAAGACTATTCTAAAATTTCCAGTTTATTTTTAAAGGAGTAAAAAAACTCCGGGGAAGAGGCGTTGCTGGTGCCGATCTGGCCGGAGAGCTCCTGCGCGGGGTTCAAGGGCCCAGGGGACAGGAGCCCGCTGGCCTGGCCCCAGAGAAGGTCGGGCTGAGCTCCGAACCCGACACCCCGCCCCGACACACGCCCTTGGCCTGTTGCGGCAGGTGGACAAGGTGGTTACGTGGGATCGGCAGCCAGGCTCCCACCCAGCGGGCACGGAGCCAGCGGGGCCCCTACACGCCACATGGACAGGGGTCCCCGGCAGGCGTGAGGCTGCGGAACGGGGTGGCACTTCGCCTTTTGTGCCCCGTCCCTGTCTCTGCAGAATGGGGTGGGCAGGAGCAGCCACCGGCAGTAAGCCGAGGGCCGAGGGAGCAAGGCTGACTGGCACGCGGCCCGTGAAGGCGCGGAGCAAGCGCACAGTGACGTCGACGCCCTGTGTGTGCGGGTCGGGGCTCCCAACCCTGCAGCTGTGCCCACGTGCCTGGGTAGTCTGTCCCTCCCTCCACGCCAGTTCTTTCTGTCCAGCACCCAGGCCCCCGTTCTCCCTTCCCCACCCACCAGAAGTCCACACGTTCAGCAGTTAACAGGGGAGACGGTGCAGCCCACAGCCCCAGGATGAATCCCAGCTCTGCCTCTGTGAGCTGTGCCACCTGAGACAGCTCTCTCAACCTCTCTGAACTCCACTCTCTTTCTTTATAAACAGGGAGTAACAGTGGTGAGAGTTAAAATACGTGGCTGTTGTGCGGCCCTCGTGAGCTAGAATACATGCAGGTGTGCAGCAGTGCCTGCTTCTTGGTGTCAGGTGTCCTGACGATGGCTGTCATTCGCCTGTACCCAGAGGAACCCTTCACTCCTCCGTCCCCACCTGTGTGGTCCCTGTTCCTGGGGCCGGCACCACCCTCACCACAGAAGGGCGTCTGCAGGGTCCTCCCTGCTCCTCAAGCCCTGCCCAGGCCCTGGGGGCTGGGGCCCTCAAAGGTGCCTGAGCCCCAGTCCCCAGGCCTGTGTTGACACGCCCTCGTGTGGCAGAGGGACTCCGCGGAGGTGTCTGGCCCAGCACTTTGACACGGGGGTGATCCTGGGTTATGAGGGCAGGGGCCGGGGACTGGACGGTGGAGCAGGACGTCAGGGGCCGGGGACTAGAAGATGCCACCCAGCACAGTGGGCCTGAGGATCAGGGCTTGAGGTGGAGGTCACGGGCCGAGGACCTTGGGTGCCTCTCTCTAGAGGCCCCCAGAGCCCCTGGGATGAACAGGCCCTGTCCATCCTGCCCTCAGCCCAGAGGACCCTTCCAAACTGCTGTCAGGTGACCTGTGTGTGCGGTTCCAAGCCACCAGTCTGCTACGTTGGCCGTGGGCGTCTGCTACAGTGGCCGCAGGCGCCCGCCACCCCACGGCATCTCTCCTTGTCACAGGAGCTTGTTGTCACTGCTGCTGAGTCAGAGCAGTGAGCAGGTGGCCAGGGACCCGAGGCCCCCGTCCCTGGCCTGCTTGGGAAGGAAGGGGCTGCGCTTGCAGCCGCGGGGGGCACAGAGGCCCAGCCCAGCCCAGTGTCCTCAGGACCCAGTGTAGCCTCCCAGTGGGTGGGTGGGCTTGCATGTGTCACCTTCAGAGAAGGCCACAGAGACGCTGTGGGGACAGAGGGAGGGTGGCTTAGGGCGCAGCCTCTGCCCCTCCGAAGCCTTTGGGAGAACCCACGGGACTGAGTGTGGGTGCCTTGCACTGTCCCTGTGCCCGCCCAGGGGGCAGGCAGCACAGCGGCTCCTGGTGGCCGCTGTCTCTGGGCCCCTCCCGTGGCCACCCCTCCCAGCCCTCTGGCGGCAAGACACCTGCGGTTGAGTCACCTCCACTGAGACACCTTGCTGGCTTCAGGGGAGGTGGGATGGGACCAGCCAGCCTGGGAGCAGCCCCCAGCCTCCATCAGCGCCCAGGCCCCCAGCCACTGGTACTGGGTGGCGACTGGCCAAACCCCAGACCCAGCCCCAGCCTCCTGGCTCCTTGGCCAAGGTCCCCACCTGGCCCAGTGACATGGAGGTGGCAGCGGGGGATCCTGGCTGTCACCAAACACAGCCCAGCTACTAGTGGGTCTGTTGTGCACCCAGAGTCCCTCCAGGACACCCCAGCAGTCGGGCCCGCAGGTCCCGGCCAGGCCGGGAGCCCCGTGGACAGGCCAGGCATTTACCAACCCAGACAAACACTGGCATTCCTGCCGCCCAGGAATCTCCCAGGAAATCTTCCAAACAGAGCCATTTCAGATATGCTGCAGAACAGGCCCCGACACGGAGCCGCACCGCGCCGCCTCCGGCCCATCCAACTCGGCATTGGGAATGCCGGCGGGGACGGGGACTGGGACGGTGACAGGGATGGGGACGCGGCGCTGGTGCCTCGGGCGCTGCAGGAATGTGAGCCAGCACAAAGGCATTCAGTTCCCGCAAATGGTGACCCAGACTGGTGGCCCGAGGCCCACTCCTGCGCACAGACCCGGGGGGAGGCACATGTCTACACCGAAACTGGACGGGCCAGGCAGCCCCACACGTCCAGCACGTCCCACACCTGGGAGGGCCCGGCCCTGAGAAGCGCTGACCCACCCCAAGACACAGTGAGCCTGAGGACCGGGTGCCACACACAGGCCACTGCGTGAGACTCTGTGTATGAGGGGCCAGAACACGGCCATCCGCAGGGACAGGAGCAGACTGTGGTGGCCAGGGGCAGGGGACAGGACAAGGGCTGCTAGTGGGAAGGAGTTCCTTTAGGAGTGGCGGGAACATCCTAGAGTCCACTGTGGCCCTGGTTGCGTGACTCTGAATACACCACCAAGCGCTCAGCTGCACGCTTTCCCAGGGTGAGTCTCACGGTGGGAGATTCTGTCTCCATAAACCTCTTATTAAAAAAAATCAGTGCGCAAGCCGGACGCAGTGGCCCACGCCTGTGAGCCCAGCAACCGGAGGCTGAGGCAGGAGGACAGCAAGTTCAAGTCCAACCCAGAGACTTAGCAGGGCCTAGGGACTTAGCAAACCTGCCTCAAACAGCACTTTTAAAAAGGGGCTGCAGATGCCCCTCGGCATAGAGCCCTGGGCTCGATCCCTGGGACCCGGTTAAAAGGAAAGAACATCAGTGCTTAAAACCTCCTCTGGGAACAGATTTAAGATCAACACTTTGTCTGCCCGCCTCCCCCAGGACGGGCAGGACGGGACCCCGGCAGGCACCCTCCCATCCACACCCTGCTCCTGGAACAGGTCCCTGGGGTCCGGGGACCCTGGCGGCTCAGCCTGCAGCCCCAGCTCCCGGCGTCCACTCACCCGATGCCTTTGATGGACTTGACGTAGATGCTCAGCTGCAGCTTCACAGAGCAGTTCATGGGGATCCCCGTGACCTGTGGAGAACACGCGGTGAGGACATGTCCACGGGCCAGCCGCTGCCCAGGGGGGCTTGCTGTCATCAACCTCGGGCGAGCAGCTGGCTGGGGGCCTCCCGCCCTGTTCCAAGCACCGACAGCGGGGCTTCCCAAACAGCTCTCGTGCCCATGACGTCAAGGTCCCCTTGGTAGAAGGGACCGTCACTGGGTAGAGGAGGCCTGACCCTTTCCATCTGTCACCTTAAGGCCCCAGATGGCGCGTCTGGGCTGCCCCCTCCCAACCCACACCCAGCCATGGGGGCTGCGTCCTCTGGGTTCACTCCCCACTTCTCCGTCACCCAGAGGGAAAGCCTTGGCGAGGCCTGCGGTCCCCGGCTCTGCAACTGCAGGCGGGGCCTCCCTCTCTGCCAGAGCTGGCCTCGGCCAGCACGGGGCAGTGACCACACTTCACACAGAGCCCAGGATGCTTGTCCCGTTTGTACGGTGTCACCTGCTGTTTTTTGGGAGGCTCTCGTCATCTCCTGTTTGAAGCCGCACTGAAGGGCCCCTGAATGCAGGAAGCCACTTTGTGCTGGGCACAGTGGTCACAGCTGTGACCCCAGCGGCTTAGGAGGCTGAGGCAGGAGGACTGCAAGTTCCCAAAGCCAGTCTCGGCAACTTAGCGAGACCCTGTCTCTAAATAAAATATATATATTTTTAAAAAGGGCTGGGGATGTGGCTCCGTGGTTAGGCGCCTCAGGTTCAATCCCTGGTACTAAACCAAAAACACCCGACAACAATCCACTTTGTAAGTGAGCCACTGTTTCAGAAAGTCAACAGCTAAAGAAGTGCCACACACAGACTCCAACCAGGAAGATGCTTCCAGAACAAAGGCAGGAAATAACAGAGGGAGAGGCCCAGGTTGGAGCCCGAGGGCCAGGCTGGACAGTAGGAGCTGACCCCCCAGCTCAGGGGTGGCAAAGGCGCCAGATTCGGGTGGCAGGGAGGGCCATCCCCTCTCTCAGGAAAGGGCTCACCGCCCCTCACAGCAGCTCCCAGGCCGTCCCCAGCCCGGGCAAGAGGAGCTCCCGAGCCTGGAACCGGGAGGGCCACGGGGTCACCCCAGGCCCACACCACCCTCCTCAGAGAGACCGCTGCTATCTGGAGCCTGGATTTCCAGAGGGGCCCTCCGTGGCCAGCTGCTGACCGGGGCTCACTGTGCCCCAACTACCTGCAAAGCCCTCAGGGTGAAGCCAGCGCCTGCTCTCCCGGCCGAGCTCGGTGCTGCAGGGCAGGGGGCCTGTGGGTGGCCCCACACCAGCCCGGGCGAGGTGCGCAGGCCCCTCAGGCAGCCCTTCCCCAGCTGTCACCACTCCCTGCTGGGGCACAGTGCGTCCTGCGTGCCCACGAGGAGCCTCGGGGAGCCTGGACCGCCTCCCCCACATGCCCACTGCCTCCTCCAACTTGGCGGGCGTCCTCCTGCTCAGTCAACCCTGGCTGAGTCCTGAGAGACCCCTAGTAAGTCCCCTGGGGGCCCTGGGAACCCGAGTGCCTGCCACCCTCTTTCCCTCCAGGTTCTAGGCCCTGCCCCTGGGCACTACCTGCCCCAGGAAATCTGGGCTTTTGGCCTCGGTGGCCAGGTCCTGCCTGGCCCACACCCCCCAGGGAACAGGAACGTGGGCCACTAGGGCCACCAGCCCCCCAGGCCTCACAGCCCAGCACCACTGGGTCTCTCCCAGCGGGTGCAGGGTCCACGGCCCACACCCACACCAGAGGTCCCACACACCACCCCGCTGCTCCGGCCAGCAGGACCCACCCGGGAGGGGCTCCCTTGACGCAGCCTCAGGGGAGGCGCCGGCCCACCAGCTGCCAAGACAGCCTGGGCCTCTCTCTGGCCTCCCAGCCTCTCTGGCCTCTCTATTCAGGGCCAAAAAAAATCCCCTCACTCGCAGCCATCAACAGGGGCACAGGGGAGGCCGTGCTCACGCGGGGCTCTCAGAAAGCCAGCGGAGAGGAGCCAGAAGAGTGGAGTCAGAGGGGAGGAAGGACGCTGGGGCTGGGCCCAGGGCTCGGTCAGAGGCCAAGGAGGTCCACAGAGGAGCAGGAAGAAAAACGGGCAGAAGGGCATCTGGAAGGGCTCTGAGGGGCAGGAGGGACGGCCTCCCTGCACCGTGCCGGGCCAGGAAGGGCAGGGGGTGGGTCAGGGACAGCTGGACCCCAGGTCCCCCAACAGCAGCAAGGAAGCGCAATCAGGCCAGGCATCCGTCGGCGGGCCAGCGGGTTAGGAAGAGCTGGTCCGTCCACACAGCGGGCTGCCTTGAGGCCTTACGGGAGGGACTCCCATCACCTGGGACCACACGGGTGACTAAGGGTGACCTGCCAAGTGACTGGACCAGGCACAGACCCACAGCGTGCGGCCTCACTGTGTGCAAAACCTGAGAACTTGGAACTCAGAAGAGAGCCGGGTGGCTTCCAGGGGCCGGGGCCGGGCCTGCGGACAGACTTTCAGACAGGAGGAGCCACTGGGCCATTGTCACAGGCCGTGTGACGTGGTGACTAAGCCAGAGTCAGTGAGCTGGGTACTTGAAAACCACTACGAAGGGGGACCCCGCGTGCCCTCAGCAGGAGTGAGCGCGAGGCCCAGCCACTCTGCCCCGTGTGCGCACACGGTGACATGGGTGCCTTGGCCCCCTGTGACTTTTATGTCTCAACTTAAAAAATCACTTTTTAAAAAAATTCTTTGGGGAGAACCTGAGTGTCCACTCTAGGAGCAGAAACCCACAGAATCTTCCTATGGGCAGCGGGGGCCTCCGAGTCCAGCTGGGTGCATTTCAGGGGACAGAGACACCCGGGAGCTGAAGGCCTGTCCTTGGGAGGGCATAGATCCCTCCTGGTCCCCACATGGGACAAGTCCCCGAGTCTGATTTATCTGCAAATGAGCCAGGGCCCGGCCGGTGTCTGGAGATCTTTATGGCACAGCCCGGCCGCCTCGGGACTTGCAGAAGAAGCACAGGCTGATAAGTCCTAATTAATTTACGATCCCAGGGCCGTTTATAGACCCTTATAAAAGGACAATAATATCCCTGACCTATGGAGCCGGGATAAAGTAGGGACCTTTGGTGGCTCGACATTCTCGAAGTGCCACTGCCAAAGAACGCCAGGCCACCAGCCCCTAGTGGTGGGTCAGCTCTGCACTGGGGCCGGAGGCAGCCGGGCAACAGCCACTCCCGAGAAACCACCCGCCCCAGTGCCCGGCGGGCAGGGCTCACCGGGTGGACGTCCAGGAACAGGGAGTGCTCCTCCGGGTCAGGGTGCAGCCCGGCCACCGCTTCTGCCAGGACGGGGTCGGCGTTGAGGAAGTGAGGGTGGGAGAGGAACAGGGGTGCACCTGGAAGGCAGAGGACACAGGGACATCAGAGGAGGGGCACGGCGGCTTGTCCAGAGGCCCTGAGCAGGGTCCAGGGTGCAGCCGGGAGGCAGAGCCGCAGTCTGCAGAGCTCGCCAGGGACGATGACTAGAGGCAGACGCCAACATCCAGCCAAGGAGGAGCCCGAGGCCCAGGCACGGGGACGCAGAGAGGGATGAGCTCTGGACTGGAGGAGAGTGACATCAAAGAGACAGACGCCAACAGACGCCAGGCCAGGAAGGCAGGGAGCGGGCTCCAGGGACAGCAGCAGAAGCCAGCAGGGGTAGGGTGCCTGGGGAGCGGGTGCATGAAGGAGGACCGCGGGGGACGCAGGAAGGAGCGGGCTGGGCCTCTGCGCCAAGCTGAGTGCCTCGAGTGTCTCCGCAGGCCGCGCAGCAGGACCGGAGAGCTCAGGTGTCACACCTGGGCCCGCCACACACCTGCCCCCCGCAGGGGGCACGTCCTGGGTGAGCAGGGACAGCTGGCCGCACCCTCCGAGTGGAGATCCCCACACAGAAACGTGAGGCCGAACCCACCACAGACAACCCAACGGGCAGACGCCAGCCCACGCAGACGCGGCCACCGCCCGAGGAACAGAGTGGACAAGGAGCCTCCCCGTGTCCCAAGGCTCCAGAAGGGACAGATGCTCAGAGACAGAAGCAGACTGGCGGTTGCCTGGGGCTGGGGGACAGAGAGAGGGGTGACAGTTAATGGGCACAGGGTCTGCTTGGGGGAGTGCTCTGGAATCAAAGAGGCAGTGACCCTGCGACAGCATGAACGGCCAAGATGCTCGTGAATCACAAACTTCAAAATGGTCCCCCTCCTAGAGCCACCATCCCCTCCTCCCCTGCCAGTGGTGACCCCGACTCGCGCCTATGTGCACCTCCAACCTCAGATCCTGGCCCCCACGGCTCTTCTCAGCAAACCAAGGCCCCCACGGCTCTTCTCAAACCAGTCTGAGGTGAGAGCCAGGTGTCATGACGCCTGTCCTCCCCAAGTCCTTCTGCTCCCCTTCCCAGGTCACGCATTCTAGCCCGGCCCATCTCCACCTCTGGACACCCTGCCCTGGGCACAGTGTGCTTCTCTGCACGCAGTGTGCTTCTCCGCACAGCTGCTGAGGCCTCCTGGACTGTGTTTAAACCAGAGCTCTACACCCGAGCCGGAGCTGGTCAGCAAGGAAACGTCAGGCCAGGCAGAGGCTGAGGCAGGAGGATCGCAAGTGTGAGGACAGCCTCTGCAATTTAGCGAGACCCTAAGAATAAAAAATAAAAAGAAGACGGGCACGGTGGTGCACCCCTATAATCCCAGCAGCTCGGGAGGCTGAGGCAGGAGGATCATAAATTTAAAGCCAGCCTCAGCAATTTAGTGAGGCCCTAAGCAACTCAGCAAGACCCTGTCTCTAAATAAAAATATTTTTTAAACAAGGGCTGGGGAGCGGGGCGCCGTGCCACACGCCTGTAATCCCAGCAGCTTGGGAGGCCGAGATAGGAGGATCAACAAAGGCCTGGGGAGGAAGGCGTGCTCCACCAGGCCTCCAACCTGGGACACCAGTAGCCGAGCAATGTCCCCGTGGCCCTGGGCTCAGACGGCAAGCCCACGTGGCTGCGAATACCTGCACGCAGACGTCCGAGCCTGTCGGCCACTTCATTTCCAAACGCCCTGGAAGACACCAGCCCAGGCAATAAGCATAATTAATTTATAGCTTTATGGCACATCGAGCAGATGTTATTGCCGCCGATGGAGATTAAGGAACGCTGCTGGGCAAGTCAGAGGCCCAGAGGCTTGAGGTGAGGGAGTTCTGAGTCCAAGAAATTTCCAAGGCCTGGAAAGGGAAGCGTGTGGGTATTTTTTTAATCTTCAGATAAAATGCCAGAGAAATGCAGACGCAGGTGCACCGAGCAGCACGTGCAAGAATGTTCTAGAAGCACCCCAGCCATGGTCAGAGCACGGCACCTGGCGTACCTCCACTTAGAGGAGGGAGTCGGTCCTGATGGGTGTCTGAGTCCTCCCGTGCCCTTGGGAGTCTGCTGTGGACATGCCGAGAGTCAGGGCCACCCTCTGCAGGGCCTGGCCCCAGTGCAGACCCTCCCCTGCTCTCCGCCATTGCTTCCCTTGGTGCCAGCCTTCCCTGCAGAGCAAGAGGCCAAGCGTGAGATGCCAGCCTGGCCTCGGCCCAGCCCAGCCCTGGTTACAGGGACCGGTTCACAGCTGGACACAAGGCTGACCAGTCAGAGCGACCCTGGGACCCTGGCTGCGGTGAGGAGGACCCGGGGCTTGGTCTCTGTGGACTCCCAGCCGGCAGCCACTGGGGGTTCTGGAGCCAGCCCAGAGGACAGTCCAGCTGAGGCCTGGCGACAGGCAGCTTCCAGACGGGATTCACCCTGGACTGTCGGTCACGCTGACCAAGTGCAAGTGTCCTTTTAGGCCCAGCATCTGCCACTTGCCACCCAGGGTCTTGCAGCCCTGCTCCCAGCAGGCGACTCCACCTTATAAGCAGAGATTCCCGGGGACACCCGTGGACACCCACAGTGAGATGGGCAGAGGACAGTGTCCAAGTGGACTGCACAGGCCCCAGGGCCAGGCCCTCTGCCCTGAAACCAAGGACGCCGTCTGGTCTCTTGATGACCCTCCTTCCTGACCCCGCTCGGTCCACCATGCACAACCCCCTCCTCTAGCTGGAGGACGTGGCGGGAAGATGAGGTCAGCAAGACCTGGCCAGGCAGAGGGCCAGCTTCTTGTCCCACCAGCCCTTGACCTCAGTCACACCTGCCTTGGGCCTCAGTTCCCCAAGAACAGGACCCACCCTCATGTCCAGATATTCAAACACAGTCTGAGCTGGACAGAAGGCCAGGGTGCAGGGAGCCTGCAGAGCGCCCACAGCCCAGCCGAGGAGGCCAGCGGGGACAGTGTGCAACAAACCCCGGAGGAGCAGCCAGAGACGAGGGGTCAACGGGGGAGCGGCCGGCGGCCACCTGAGGACAGGGTGTGGGAGCAGGGCTGGCTACCAGGCAGAGGAGGGATGCAGAGCCCCGCTGGGCACAGAGTCTGGCCTTGGCTGCAGCCAGAGGGCGAGGTCTGTGCTGTCCAGGGGTCCTGATGGGGCCCAGGGCAGGGCCTTCCAATGGGGCCCAGTGGCCTCCATGAAGTGTCCACCATGGCGGTCACCAGGCCACGTGGCTGGGCGTCTGACCTGCAGCCAGTGTGGCATAAGGAGAGCGTTTTTAATCTGATGTCAATTCAATTCGTTCCAACAGCCACAGGAGGTGCAGGGACTGGTGGGCAGGACTAGGAGGCCAGAGGCCAGATGGGTGGGCGAGAGGAAGGACCCCGGGCCGTGTGGGGGCGAAACCACCTGGGTTTGCACAAGGGGTGAGGGGTGAGGAGGGATCGAGCTGACGCCCAAGCATCCGAGTTGAGCAACTGAGGTGGGCGTGCCACGGAGATGGGCCAGGTCCCGAGGCAGAAAGGGCGCCCCAGGACATTGTGCGGGCATCAGTGATCACACCCGACACCTCGGAACAAGAGGGTTTTGCACAACAGTGGGCCCGCGCCAGCTCCTCAGGCACCAGGACGAGGTAAAGGGTCCTTCCCACTGAGCCTCGCTCTCGGGCGTGGGAGGCAGATCTTGGCCTCGGCCCCGGGGCCCACTCCTACAGACAACCTGGCTCTGGGGTAGCCTCGAGGGTCCTGAAAACTAGCAGCAGGAGGACATGGAGAAAGAGCTGGGAGGACAGAGGGGGCCAGAGGGGCAGGGCCTTGCTGGCGTCTAAGAGGAAGGGCCGTGAGCGGAGGAACACAGGCCCCTCCAGGAGCAGGGGGGGGCAAAGAACCGACAGCACTACCAGGTGGCCAGGACCTTGACCGTGGCTGGCTGGACCGTGGCAGGCCTCAGATCACAGACTGTGAGGTGACAGGTCTGTGCTGCCCTAAGCCACGGGCTGACCTGCCACTTCCTGTTATCATCAGCCCTGCTCCCTATCTGCAGCCTAATGGGATTATCAGAGGCCAGAGGCCAGAGATTAGGCAGACGGCGGGCAGATAAGCCCCTCTCCCCCCACCTCCTGCCCTCCACCCAGGACACCTACCGAACCTGCAGGTGCTGACGTTCTGAATGCCGGACTCCAGGCACGGGCAGAAGCCTTCGTTGGGCGGGTAGACTGACCCATTGGCAAATAAGGTTTTGGGGGCCACGAAGCGATAGGTGGGGATGCCCTCAAACATCCCCGGCTCCTGGTAGATGAGCTTCATGGACCTGCAGGGGGCAGATGGGGCAGATGACCCCAGAGCCCCTGGCTGCCCCCTACCTGACACAGGTCGCCCCAGGGAGCCGCCTCGCCCACCTGAACGGCTCCCTCCTGGGACCACACCTAGTGGCCTCTCGCCCAGGGAAATGCAGTGTGGCCTCCCTGACCAGGCCAGTCCACTGTCCACAACCACACAAGCTTTAAATCAAAAACTGAATATAAGCTGGGCGCCATTGTGCACGCCTGTCATCCCAGCGGCTCAGGAGGCTGAGGCAGGAGGATCGTGAGTCCAAAGCCAGCCTCAGCAACAGCGAGTTGCTAAGCAGCTCGGTGGGACCCTATCTCTAAATAAATACAAAATAGGGCTGGGGATGTGGCTCAGGAGTTGATGGCCCTGAGTTCAATCCCTGGTACCCTCCCCCCACCCCCAAAAAAACCAAAAAACAAATCAGTTGCCCCTGCCACACATCCGAGGGCTCAGCCGACCGTGGATGGAAAGCCAAGCCGAGAACTGACTCATCCTGTGTTCACGGGACGGCCCCAGGTCAGCCAGTCCCACCTGGTCCATGGAAAAGGTCCTGGTTTTGATAACAGAGGTCACATAATGTCCCTTCTCTGAGAAAACACCCTGGGTACTCAGGTGCCAAGGGGCACGCGGTCTGCACCCTGCGCTCAGTGGTGGAGGGCGAAGATAACCCGAGGGGAGGTGGCACATGGCACAGCAGCTGGGGTGGCAGAGAAAGAGCTGGGGCACCTGGGCCTGTGGTTGGAACCCGTCCAGTCAGCGCCTGGTGCTGAAGGTGGACCCCAGGTGGCGCTACTGGGAGGTGCTGGAACCCTCAAGGGGCGGGGCCTAGTGGGAGTCTCCAGGCCATTGGGGGTGTGCCCTGACCTTGGGACCCCAGATTCTTCCTCTTTCTCTCTTTAGCCCCTGGGCCATGAGGTGGGGGGGGGTCCTGCTCTGTCATGCACAGTGCTGCCTCGTCACAGGGCTGACCCTCCATGGACTGCAGCTTCCCCAACTGTGACCAAAATAGACCTCTTCCCTTTCCAGAGTGATTAACTGGCACATTTGTTGCAGTGACAGAGAGCTGGCCAACCGCTGGGGAAGGGTAGACAGGTAACTCGCACTTTCTTGCAATTTTTCTCTAAGATTCCAGCCGGGCGTGGTGGTTCTGATAACCACCTACAATCCCAGCAACTCAGAAGTCTACGGCAGGAGGACCCCAAGTTCGAGGCCAGCCTGGACCACTGAGCAAGACCCTGTCTCAAAGAATAAAAAGGCCTGCAGGGGCAGCTCAGGGGAGAGCGCCCCCTGGGCTGGGTCCCGGGTACTGCAGCATGTTCTACTGGGGGCTGTGGTGTAGCTCAGGGGTACAGCGCTCGCCCAGCACACGAGGCCCTTGGTGCAATATCCAGCCCACAAAAAAATAAAATTCTATTTTTTTCTTAGATTTCTTTAGCTGTAGGTGGACACAGTACCTTTATTTACTTTTATGTAGTGTCGAGGATCGAACCCAGAGCCTACCTGGGCTAGCGAGTGCTCTACCACTAAGCCCCAGCCCAGCCCTGAGGTTCTATTTTTAAAGCAGTCACACATGCCCAGCAAAAGCACTCTACTGTGACATTCTGTGCACTGGCCTGAGTCCCCTGACAGGAAGTGACCACCCAGGGCACAGGGACTGTGTCCTTCTTGCCATCCCTTGCCTCTGGTACGGAGCAGGGCTCCTGGTGTGACGGGGAGGCAGAGAGTCAAGGGTGCCCTCTGAATTTCCAGAGTGGCCGGAATGGGCCAGCAGATCTGGCAACACCTGGAAAAGGGCCGTGGGCGGCCACAGCTGTCCTCAGCCCACAGCCGGGGCCACTGGACGGCTGCAGAGCCGGGGACGCTGGGCTGACGAAGCGGGGTTACCTGCAAGCCTCAGGGCTATAGAACTCCAGCGAGGACTCGGGGGTCATGAAGGGTGCCCACATTTGCCCGGAAGTTCCATTGATCATGTTGCACTGATCCGAATGCCAGAAGTTGACCTGTGAGGAGCGAGGTTGGACCGGCCACTCAGACAGCCGTGGGGAGCACTCCAGAGGTGCACACTGCACCGGCCCCAGCCCAGGCGCGGCCACTCGGGTCCCAGGGCTGACCACACCCTCACAGACGCTGACCACATAACTCTTCTAGGGGCCCGGTAACATCCTCTGTGCAACGTGCCCGCCCCCCACCTCTCCTTGCCCCAGTGGAAGTGGACAGACGCCTCGTAAAGACAGGCAAACGGAGGAACGTGGCCGGCCGTTCAAGATCCTAATGGGGAGTGGCCCAGACTCTCCTGGGAGCAAGGCTTGGACCCAAACCAGCCACTCAGTCCCCACCCTCTAAACAACTGGAAATCCCTCCCCCGTGTGCTCGCCCGTGTTGTAGATTGAAAAAAAAAAAATCAGAAAGGACGTTCACGGCATTCATTAGCCATGGTTATCCCGCCACCCAGGCCCTTCTGGGGTGACTGTCCCCAGGACCCAGGTCTCTGCGGCAGTCACCAGGGGACCACTCGTGGGTGGAGAGGCACTCTGCAATCGTTGTCAAGTACCCTGAGGACAGGCCAAAGCTGCAGGACCTGGAGCAGGAGATGACCCACTGTGTTCAAAGAAGGAAAATCACGTTTCTCTGGGTCCGGACAGGCACGCGAGGGGTGAGGAACAGACAGGAAGACTGTCCCCAACGGCCACCGTGGGCTCGTGGGTTCCTCTGTGGTTGGGAGGGAGAGCGGAGACTGCAGGGCCTCGGGCATCAAGGGCGATATTATATACGTTACGTATCATGTTAGTTTAATGTGTGTTCAATATACGCCTTGGTTTTATTTTTAGTGTTTCGGGGGAGATGTTTCAAAAACATTCCTTGTACACGAAGAATCAGGCAAAGCAAGGGCTGTGTCCTCCACAGCACAGCCTTCACCCACCACGGGTGATACCCCCACACTGAGTATGTCCTTCCTGGGGACAGCTGCCCCCGCCCAGGCTTCAAGAAGGGGCCCCAGGGACCTGGCTAGGCCACTTCCTGTCCTGCCATCCCCTGAGGCTGGGGCCGCCCATGGTCCTCACCTTGCTCAGCCCATTCCACTTGTCCACGAGGTGAATTCTGCTGAAGTCCTTGACCCCTGTGAAGACCGTGAAGACCCCCGAGTCCGAGTTGTTCATCTGCAGACAGTGGTAGAGGACAGCCTCCCTGAGCCTCCGGACAGGGTGAAGGCCCAGGGAACGGCGGATGCCAAGCCACCCCCAGTTGAACCCCAACTGCACCCCCAGCAGTGAGGGACCTCCCAGGGGAGGGGGCGGATGGGAGATCCCTCACTGCTGCGTCCCCTGCATCTTAGGGTCAAGAGAAACCAACTTAGGCCTCTGGGAGGTCCACCCTACTGGTTTTCGAGAGCTGAAATGTCACCTGCTCTCCTTTCTAACTCAGGGAGGTCCCTCTCCGCCCAGGCGAATGGCAGGATCACTCCCACCCCATCACCCCACTTGAAACACAGCATGGCCAGGGGCAGCAAAAGTTGATGTCACGGCCAGTGGACACTTGAAGGACTGGGCACAGGCACTTCCCCAGCTCTCTGCCACAGCTATGGTGACAGAAGTGTGTGTCAACTCTGGGCCTCCCTCACCTGGATCCCTGAGTGACCACCACAAGCAGGAGGCCCCTTGGTCACACACAGTGGACACAGAGTACAATCCAAGAAATCAGTGTTTGCTGCTTTAAGCCACTGACATCGGGGCTGCTTGTCAAGGCAGCATAACCCAGTCGATCCTAGCTGATCCTGAGTTTATGGAGCCTTTAGAGAGTGAGGCCAGGCCCTGGTGTTCAGTGCCCCCCAGAAGCAGGTTTCCAGGTCAGAATGAAGATGTGCACAGCTCAGAGAGACAGAGTGGGGGTCTGGAAGTGCTCTCTCCCACCCTGGCCTCCAAGAGCTGTGCCTCTGTCAAGTCCCTGCCCAGACGGAGCTGTTGGAGGAAAGAACAGCTTGAGCCAGCCCAGGGGACACTGAGGTGTCAGAGACTGTTAACACACTAGAGACCGCCTGCCCTATCCAGAGCCACCCCTGCTTTCTCCTTCATCTCCAACCCACGCCTGTCTCAGGGAAGCACCCACATTCCCAGAAGGCTACACTCCCAGCTCCCTGCAGCTGGTGCAGCCACGCGACTCGGTTCTGGCCCACGGAAAACAAGAGGAAGTTGGTTTATCCCCTCCCCACAGGAGACAGCTGGGTCTTGCGATTCACCCTCAATTCTCCCTCCAGCCCCCCCACCTCTTCCTTCCTGCCACGTTGCCTGGAATAAGGATGTGATAGCTGACACTCTAGCCGCCTCCTTGAGCCAAGAGATTATCCTGAGCATGGCAACTGCATCCCCAGGATGGCAGAGAGGAGTGGCAGAAGGCTTCCAGGACACTGGAGACCCCAAAGCCACACCAGCACTGAACAGCTGACCACCAGACCGTTATTTTGAGGTTTCCGTTATACACGGTCAAACGTAGATTGTAGCTATGCTGCTGACTATTCGAGAACTTCCACTTGCCAGGCCCTGTGGGGTGTGTGGATGCTTCTACAGAACCGTGCTGCTTACCCCAACTTGCCCGTTCACCCACAGGACCAGAATCTGCCGTCCTGGACAAACACACCCAGGCTCAGCATCAGGGTCCCCCCCACCCCACCAATCTACACCAGAAAGCAGAGCCTAGAGAGAGGGCTGAGACTGACACATCCAGGGAGCCCACGGAATTCCACTTCCAGAAGGCCAACATCAGCTGTCAGAGGTCAGGGATCAAATGCTACTTGGATTGATCTTGGCTGGGGAGCCCAATCAGTGACCCTATCAGGTTAGCAGGGGTCAAGATCAGGATAAAGGAGGCAGCTCAGAGCAGAGCTGGGGTTGACACTGGTGATCTGTCTCCCCAGCAATCATTCCCATTTCTTCCAGCAAAGCCTCCAATTTCCTAAGCTAAGTGAGCCCCAATCACATCATTAAGCCTGGATCAAGCTGTACCTGAACTCACCCCCAAGAGTTTTCAGTTGCGTGAGTCAGTAAATTCCCTATTTTGCTTACACTCATCCGTCAGAGTCTCTACCCAGCCAGCTGCAAATTCAGCCAGTCACTGGTTTCCAAGCTGCGTGGGTCACACTTACCTCAGCAAACAACCCGAACTTGCCCTTCAAGGGGAGCATGTCTGGGAAGTACTTGTTGATGAGATTCACGAGGGGGTCGTCGTAGCCCCACATGATCTCGCCCACAGTGCGGTTCATGAAGGCTCGCTCCCCTAGGGTGCTGAACGCCAAGGTCATCATCAGCTTCAGACTCATGGGCCTGTTCTCCATCATCATCGCAGCACCCTGCAGACCCCAGAGATGGACACCGCGTCAGGACTGCACATGGCCCCTCCAGGGGGAAGCCAGGCCCAGGAGGGCCCGGGAGTGGTGGGTCCCCTCTGCTGGCCTTGACCCTGGCCTTGACCACCCCAAGGGGCAGGCTGGCCAGAGGAGGAGCCAGTGCGGATCCGGGCACCCTATTCTCCCACCTGTACCTAGTGCCCCTCCAGCCAGCGCCCGCACGCTCCCGGGAAGAGGGCCCTGGCCAGCAGCCTCACCAGGACCAGGATGTTGGGCAGGACGATGTAGTCGCTCTCAGAGCCTTGGGACTTGGCGGGCTGGAACTGGAAGCTGCGGTGCTCCCGGAAGGACACCGTGTCATTGTTGTTGAAGGTGATGTTGATCTTGTGCCTGAATTCTCTGCAGGGAGAGCGGCCGCTGGAGGGTGCTCCCCACAGCCCCCAGCAGCACCCACCTTGACTCCCTGGGGAGGGGCACCTCCCGACCAGACGGCACCAAAGCTGAGCATGGCCAGCTGCTGCCTGTCCGCCCCACTGTCTGCCCACTGCAGGACGCACAGCCTTGTCCACACAGCCTGGCTCTGCTTGCCGTCACCCTCATCTGAGTCACCTCCAGAAAGCACCTCGATCCCGACACCTCCCTCCACCTGGCATCCGTGTCCACCAGGTGACCACGCCAGCCCCTCCTTCAAGGCCTGCAGGAAGCACTTGGCTGGGGATGTGCCCCAGGGCCAGGGCTGGACCCCGCCCTCACCACTGACTCCCTGAGCCTCAGTGTTCCAGCGTACGGAGCAGGAGAGACTTGCTTCATCAGGCTGTGCGAAGGGTAAGTGGGTCTAAACACGCACAGCCACCAAAACCGTCGCCCGGTGCCCAGAGCACCACGTAACACTAGCTGCCATGGTCAGTACTGTCTCACCTCTCAACCCCTCCAAAGAGGAGAATGCGTTGCGTGACCCCACCTGCCTTCACCTATAGGACCCACCAAGCTCCCAGGGCAGCCTGAGGTCCTCACCATCCCACCCACTCCTTCTCAGGCCTGGGCTCCTCCGCTCTGCCCTGGTTCACGGCACTCCAGCAGTGCAGGCCACCTTCCCTGCCTCGGGGCCTTGGCACACACTCTGCCCAGGACCCTCCTCCCCCAGAACCCCTTCCTGCCACTCAGCTCCAGCAAATGCCCCCTTTGCAGAGGTTGTCCCTGACCCGCCATCAGACCCAGCTGCTGATGTCTGCCCCCAGAAACAAGTCCAGACCCCCACCAGCTGTTACCCTCCCACGCAGGCCCAAAGCCTGACCTTGCCCACTGGTTTGCTCCCACCACGGAAGGCCTCCTCTGCGGCTCCCACAGTGGACCAGCATGGTGCCTGGCACATGCACCTGAGGCAGGTCATGGGCACAAGGAGCAAGCGTGAGCTGCAGCCAGCCAGGGTCAGCTCCAAGTGCACTTCAGCAGAGGCTCCCTGAGGCAGAGCCAGGCATGGAGCAGGGCAGAGGGTCACATGGGACCCCCATGTTCCTGCCATCCCCCACGTCTTGGAAACTGCTCTGGCCATTGCAGTGGGTCCTGTATGTGCCATGGGCTGTGCCCTGGCCAGCGTGCCCAACTGCCAAACCTCAGGCACGTTTGAGCTTCCAGCCTGGGCTCCTCAGAACCAGACTGTGCCCCCAGCCAATGGGAACACACTCTGCCTGCCCAGCCCGGGAAGCCAGCCACTCCTCGGGGGGCCCGGCTCCCTCAGCCACAATTAACAGTCCAAGGCTCAGGCAGGGCAGGCGGCCAAGCCTGGGATCCCCACACCACTGGCCTCGCTGCTCCTGTGTGGAGACAGGGTTCTGTGTAAAACAGTTCATAAAAAGGTGTGGCCACTCCTAGCAAGTGTCCCCACATCTCAGGAGTCTTATGGCAACTCCTCTGTCCTGACTTGGGCAGCACAGGATGGCCTGACACTGACACCATGTGCCGTCCTCATCCCTGGACTGCACTGGGACAAACTGAGGCTCCGGGTTAAAATCACCCCTGGGGCCACAGCCAGGTACAAGCAAGGCCAGAGAGCAAAGGCACAACCCAGGCACTGGGTCAGCACGAGCTACAAATGCTGGTCCCATCTCCTGCTGGCCCTCCCTGTCCTCCACCACACACGGGGTTGGGATGGAGGTGCTGGCTCTGGGCTGCTCTGGGTGCGAGCGTGTGTCATTCATAGGCCCTGCCTACCAACTCCATGAAGAACTAGCCAGCACGCAGCTTCCTCTGTGCGCCCAGCCTGCTGCGGAACCAGTCTGCACTCAGCAAGCAGCCCTACCCTGTCCCTGAGGCCCCGCCCCATCCCTCTGAGGCCCCGCCCCATTCATCTGAGCCCACCCTCTGAGGCCCCCCCATCCCTGAGCCCTGCCCCAACTTCTGAGAATGGGGCCCCGCCCCATTCTTCTGAGGCCCTGCTCACCACAGCGGCCCGCTGCAGCCCTGAGGCCCCTCCCCATGCTCAGAGGCCACGCCCATCCATAGAGGCCCCGCCCCACCCCGAGGCCCCGCCCTCCTCACCTGTACACGTAGGGCCCACGCTCCTGCACCTCCGGCTTCCGGCCCTTCAGGATCTCCTCGGGGTTGAGCACCTCGAAGAAGTAGACAGACAGGTAGAAGGGCACGGGGATCTCCTTCCACATGCTGAAGGAAAGGCTGCTGGGGTCGATGCGCACGTTCTGTGGGTGGGAAGGCGGGCGGTCAGGAGGGTCCTGCATGGGCAGGAGGGGCTGGAGCAGCCACGGGGTGGCCCGATCCTACCAGGGTCTGGGGGCTGCAGCGGGGCTGCGGGGGGGGGCTGCCGGGGGGCTGGGGCAGCATCACCTACAGGGGTGGACGCTGGCAGGAGAGGGTGGCGGGGCTCCGCCTGGCCCAGCACCTCCTCCACTCACGACTTGGAGCTGGGGTGGGCGCGCAAGCAAGACAGCCCCTCCCCAGCCGGCAAGGCAGGCGCTGACCCCTGGGCCAGAGAGGTGCTGTGACGGAGCCCAGAGAAAGCACGGGGAGGGGAGAGGGTGGGACTCCAGACAGTCACCAGGGACTGAAATGTACAAATACACAAGCCAAATCCCAAATAAGAACCAAGGTAGTGGGGGACAGGAACCCAGGGGTGAGGGTGCTCCAGCAACTACAGCTGGTGCAAAGCTCTGAGACAGGAGCCAGCATTTGAGGGGAGAAGGCAGGAGGTGAGAGCAGAGAAGTCCATGAAAAGCCCAAAATACGGAAGTTTTTATGAAAACTGATTCCTGATGCTTGGCAAAAATACCAAATTGTCCTAAAGGGCCGAAGGAAAGAGGCCAGCAGTGCACCTGGCCTGTAATCTCTATCTCTGCCCAGCAGCAGGCCTATCAGATGCAGCCCAATGTGTCACAAAGCCAGGCAGCCAGGGCAGCTTGCATCACCTCCCACAGTCTTTGAACACAGCCTTCCAGGACAAGGACATCTGCTCCCACAGTCCCCAACCCTAATCCACAGGCAAAGGCCCCGAAGAGGCAGAAGGCCAGAGCCCGCAGTCCAGACCCGGTAACGTGTCCCCTGGAGGAAGTAGAGCGTGGGTCTGAATCTCCTTCTGTACAGCAGGGCCGCGACACCATGGCCATAGCTCTGCTAGTGGGCCTTTGCGGCACGTGGGTGATGATGGCTTCCTCCAATGCCATGAAGTCTAGCCTGGAGGGCTCTCCTGAGAAGACCGGGATCCTCTAAGTGTCCATTGCTAACCATGTCTGCCCCTGTGCTGTCCCCTGCAGGGCTGCCCCAATAAACTGGGCATCCAGTGCCCAGGGACACTCAGGGGAGGGGAGGGCTGAGCACTGACAGCAGCAAGAACCCCCCCTGGGGGTCCTGTGCCAGGCCACTGCGCTCCCCCCTGGCATGGCTGGTGGAACTACCCACTGTGGCCCAGAGAAGCAGCCCAGGCAGGGACTCAGCCCCCCAGGAGGTCTCAGTCCCACCTACCCACAGCCACACGAGGGGACCCTGCATCATCCTCCCACCTCGTGCCCCCTCTGCAGGTGCCCTGGGCAGTGGAAACCCTTCAGCCCCAGGCCCTGTGCTAAACCAGTCACTGGACAGTGCCCAGCTCCTCAGACACACCGAGCCATCCCAGTGTCCACTTCTGACAGAAGAACAGCATGACTGTGACTTCTAGCTCCTTAGAGGGCTTGAAAAGACAAAGAGAGCCCAGGGCCCTGGAGAAGTCCTCACGAGCACAGGTCACAATCCTGTGTCCGCAGCACTGAAGGACAGAGGGGATCTGGGAGGGGGGACGTGCTTGGTGCCGTGATGTGCTGGCGGGCGTGCCTGTGACACATCGGATACGCTCAACACACACGCCTTCTGTGTCTGTGACCCCTCAATAAAGCCATTTGAAAACCAGGCGCACCAGCCCCCCACCGGCCTCCTCCCCAGCCCAGCTTCTTGAGGAGGCGGAGAAGCCTTGAGAAGCCCTGGGGCCCAGCTTGCCTGATCCCTGGGCCTGCTCAAACTGGTCCTGGAGTCAAACAGGCTGAAACAAGAAGTCACCAGATAGCCACTGGTCCATCTCTCCCACAGAAGGGGCTCCAGGGCCCCAGCCCACTCATTTGGCACTTCCTGCAGGCAGGGTATAGGCCCGGCTCACCCCTCTGACTTGGTGGCCGTAAGCAAGTCACCATCCCTCTCTGTTTCCTCAACCCTACAACGTGCATAAGGTCACCATCCACCCGTGGGCTGCTGTGGGCTTGGACGAGTCTGTGCAGGTAAAGTGCCCAGGAGAGGGTCCACCGAGCGCCCGGCATCCAGAAGGTGAGCCACATTGTCCCCTGGCCTGAGGTAACCCCTCTGCACACCGGCACTCTGGGTTGGGTACGGACTTTGCCCTGCTTCTGACCAGCAGGATGCTCTCCTCTCAGTCACAGTGAACCAGGGCCACCTGGGCCAGGCAGCTGATTAGATAGCAGTTCGGGGAGCACAGACACGGGCTCTTGCCAAACAGGCTGGTTCTGTGGTACTGTCCTGGTCCCCCCTCCCCAGGCCAAAGATCACCTCCCTGGAGATGGGAGAGAATGGCAGGTACGTCCTGATGGATGCCACTCCCTCCCTCCAACCCAACAGGCCCTTCAAGTCCTTTGCAGATAGAAGGCAGAAAGGCTGTGGGGAGGAGGGGACACCTGGGCTGGGTATTAAAACACAAGTCAGGCTTTGCCAGCTAGAGTGGGAGGGAGTCCCCAGCAAAGGACACAGCCCGGGCAAAGTCTGAGCCACCTCTGACACAGAACCGTCCTAAATGTCCCTCAGTGACAGTATGTATTTAAAATGATGATGTATGGAAGTGACCCAAATACCCGTCAGCAGAAAAACCACCACACCCTGAGACGACAGAACCCACCCAGCAATAAAAAGGATCCAACTACCAGCACGTGCCATAACATGGTGAGCCCCCAACGCATTACCCCAAGTGGGAAGAGACCAGACGCAAAAACCACACACTCTGTGTTCGTCTGACATTCTGGAAAACAGAAAAAAAAAACAGAGAGACAGACACCAGACCAGTGGTCGCCAGGGGCCAGGACTGCACACAGGCACTGGGAGATGGAATGTCCTAGATCTTGATTGTGGAGGCCACACAGGTGAGGTACACACCTGAGATAAAACTCGTCAAGCCGGGCGCGGTGGCGCACGCCTGTAATCCCAAGTCTGTGCAGGGTAAAGTGCAATCCCAGTGGCTTGGGAGGCTGAGGCAAGAGGATCATGAGTTCAAAGCCAGCCTCAGCAATTTAGTGAGGCTCTAAGCTTCTCAGTGAGACTCCATCTCTAAATAAAATATAAAGGGGCTGGGGATGTGGCTCAGTGGTGAGTGCCCCTGGGTTCAATCCCCAGCACCAAGGAAAAAAGAATCAAATTGTCCCCTGAGAAGGACAAACACGAAAGATGAGGCTTGAAAACGTGACACTGGTGTTTTTAACGGCTTTATTAGGATCTGTGCCGTGTCCCCTGCCCACATGGAGGGCACGGTGCTGTGACTCAGCAAACCCAGAGCGGTGCAGCCTTCACCACTGCCTACTTCCAGAACATTCTCTCCTCTCCGTCCCCAGCAGGAGTCACTCCCCAGTCCCTCCAGCCCCTGGCCCCCACGAGTCCACTTCCTGTTTGAGATCTGCTGATCCAAATCTTCGCATGAAGTCTCCACATGTGTCAAAAATGTTCTGCTTCTGAAACCAGCAGAGACCCGAGGGCCCCACACAGCTCCTCGCGCAGCACGCTCTGCTCTGCGTCAGCGCCTCTGGCCAGCTTGATGTCCCCACGTGCGTCTTTCCTGCTTCCTCTCCTTCTGGCCACCAGGGCTCCACAGTGACCCAGCTGTCCACCCACCCACTTGCTTCCTCAGTTTGGAGCTTTTCTGAATAAAGCAGCCCTAAGTTCATCGAGTTTCACACTCAACATGTGGGAGCCGCGTCTGACTGTGCCATACCCGAGTGCACTGCTGTCCCTGGCACACCCATGACCTGCCGTGTCCACTGCATCCAGAACATTGGGGGTAAAAGCAAAGGGCAGGTGTCATCGCTACCTTTAAAACATAACACAGTCACATCACGTGAAAAGAAGGTGAGACCAAGGCAGCGGGTGAGGACTGAGGCTCAGCACAGACGGACAGAGAGGCCCAGTAAGAATCGCCCTGGGTCGTGGGCGCGGAGGCCACACCTGGGATCCCCGGGACTCAGCAGGCAGAGGCGGAGGGTTGCAAGTTCAAGGCCAACCTGAGCAGCTATGGAGACCCTGTCTCAAAACAAGGATTGAAAAAAGAGAATGGCCGTCTGGTGTGGGGAGCGGCAAGAGGGCTCTTCAGGAGCAAACCCCATTTCTTGGTCTGGACGCTGGTCACCAGAGCTGTGTGCTGTGTGGAAAGCTGACAGTGCTATGTCCTTGGGATAAGCGTGGCCTTCCACGTCCAGGCCACGCCTCGCAAGATAGTCCAGGAACCATAATGTGATCTTTGTAAATATAAAAGATCTACTGCGGACAGGCCAGGACCCAGCAGATGATTCTGCACAGATGACACAAGCGGCCAGGGAGCCCCTGCAAGGTGCCCCGCAGAGACGCAGATCAGGGTCCCAGAGAGGCCACTTCCCACCCACAGGATGGAATCGGTTTTTAAAAACTGGGAATGAAGGAGGATGGGCGAGGCCGGGCAGATGGGAACCCGGCCTCCTGTGGGATGCTGCTGAGGACGCCGGGGCTGGCAGAGCTTGCCACCAGGGCACCAGATTGCCACATTCCCCGCCACCCCCAGGAGGGCCCTGGAAAGAACTGAAGACCCTGCCCTCTCATGACCACGCTCACCAAGGTCCCCACAGCTCTGCTCGCAGTAGCCAAAAGGGACAACTCAGATGTCCAGAGAGCAAAGGAGAGGAGAAACAAGATGCGTCCCCAGGGATCCAGGCACGGACATGGACACCCACCGCCCCGAGACCAGCCCTGGACGCACGGTGCTCAGACAGCTACAGACGGGCCACTCTGCCTGACCCCGCTGGAGGGACGGCCCCAACAGGCAAGTCTACGAGACCGAAAACAGACGGGCTGGCTGGACCAGGAGCAGGGGTGGGTGGGGACAAGGTGGCTGTGAAGGCCGAGGGGCAGGCTACAGTGCGCACACAGGTGGCGCTTGACGTCGGGCAGAAACTACCAGTGGGCTCCCGCCACT